GTGCCCCCTGGCCCCGCTGTAGCAAGTCTTTAAATGAGAACTTTGCAGGCTGAAGTGGCCTGCTGCTGGGACAACTTGGGCCGCGCAGCCAGCACTGCGGCAACCTTTTACCGTAGCCCCTTGACCTCGCCCAGGCATAGTTCACCACCTTGTGGGCCCCGGTGGGCATGTTCGCACTCAAACCTATCACGGCGAACCGTGGTTGGCGGACGGTTCGCCCGCAGCGACTCCCTCCACCAAGGTTTCTTTYCTCCTCGTGGGCTAATTACCCACCGGCTCGCATGCACGTTGAACTCCCGGGTCCGAGTTTCAAGACGRGCGGATAGAGAAATTTTATCAGCATCCAGGACATGCCGAAACCCGAGCGAGCCCGCCGATAGGGCGTGCGCTCAAGGTCCTCGACTGCCGTAACCGTCACCCGGGTCTGGCCATATAGCACTTGAGTCAGGCCCTGTCAATCCCGACGTCGGCCACGAAACCGGTCACTGAGTCAAAGGCTTCAGTAAAAATAAAAATAAGAATAAGAAAAATAAAATAAAAAGAAAACGCAAGGGACACACAAAAAAGTAAGGGGACGAGGGACCGTGCGTCCTGCTGGCCTGCGACGCCGCGCACACCCAGGCTCCGCGTGGTTGCATCCCTTCTTCAACACGTCGCGCGCTCTGCTCACCCGGGCAAGGACTCAACTCTCGCTCGCGAGTGCGCCATCAACTTCGGACGAGCCCGCACCGGCGTGACTTACAAAAAACACGCCAAATACCCTTGTAAGGGTATTTGGTACGACACCACCCCCCCTCCCTCTCTCTCTAGCTCTCTTTCTTTATCTTTCTCACTCTCTGTCTCTCTCTCACACTCGTAATAATATATGGAACAAAACTCTCTCTCTCTCTCTCTCTCTCTCTCTCTCTCTCTCTCTCTCTCTCTCTCTCTCTCTCTCTTGTGTTCGCTCTTAGTCTCATTGCTTTGGCTACCTTAGGGCTGCGTGCCCTGCGTCCACGCGGCAGACAATGTCATGGTCGCCCGCCGCCAAAAATGCGACACCTTGACACAGACACCGAAGGCCACTATACCGCAGCCTTAGGGCTGCCAATACCTCAGCCTTAGGGCTGCGAATCACGGGGAACCCCGTAGCGGCCACATCTGTGCTCAAGCCTCCAACGAGGGAACTTGCGGGAGCTGCACCCACCAAGAGGTGGGCGTTACCGGGGCTAGGTCCCACTTACACGATATTGACCGTAGATAGCAAAGATCAACGGCCAAAATCTCTTAATCCATGCAAGTGGGACCTAGCCCCCGGCGAGGGGTGAGCAGGTAGCATCAGGACCTCTTCTTTGATGGGCCATTCGCTGTGCGTCCCCTCCGGTCGGCCTTTCCAGCCTCCTCCTGTTACCTGTCCCCTGCAACACTTCCGTCCACACGCGCCACATGTTCGCCCACACACGCATACACATACCTATGCACATACACACACACACACACACACACTCATTCACACCCATGCAGACGACCATGTGCCCCCTGCCCCACACACAACCGCACTCAGGTAGACACTCATTGACACACACGAGCACGCGCGCACACACACACACATCACACTCACACGAAACCGCCCGAACGCACACACAGATACAAAACCAGGC